ATGTGACACTGTCTTAATTGTTGCAGGTAAAAATTAATAGTGAGCCATAACCAACAACCCATGTTGTCTATTGTCAGAAGCACATTAGATGATAGCGATTTTCAGGAAATAGGAAGCATTCATACCAGCAAATAAGTAGTAAGCCCAATCATTCTGCAGTGCATCAAGATAAATCTATAGAAAACAATACTGAAACTGCATTGACGTTCACTGACAAAGAAAAGAAACAGAAAATGGTGGGAAAGACATGCTACCAATGTAGTGTTCAAAACTGACAGACTAAAGGAGTACAAAAGGTGAACAACACTAGAATGTTTCAAAAGGAAGCCTCTACTGCTACCCAAATCAAGCAACCATAATTAAGAATATCTGAACAAGTGTACTGGTACCAGAACATTCTGTTTCATGGATATCGTAACCAATCTCACAAGCTCTGAGTCGCAGCCAACCCTTCTTCCTTGGTCCCCAGTACCTAATAATGTTTGGTAAGCATATAAATTAGCAGTAATAGTACAGTGTCTCATGGTTTAACAAAGGATTGGATAATTGGTTGAGCAAAATCTTAGTATAATGCTAAATATTGTCACAAAACAGCATTTCATAATTCACATATAATGTAATAACTTGCAGATGACGTTACAACTCAGTTGTCCAACTATCATATAGAACAATTGCAATGCTATGTTACCCCTTTCATAAGGAACATAACAAAAAAAAGGTTAGTTGATAATAATTCATGAACACATAGAAGTGTGAAACCATCATACTAACTTACTAAGTTACTTACCACATCACTAACTGTGAAGCCTATGTTAACCATTATAAACAAGCAGATAGAGAAAACATTCTTCGCAACTGAATACTAGTACTACTTAATTGCACAATAGACACATTTATGTGCATTCCATCAATAGCTTCAACTGATCTTATTGCCTGTAATCTCACATAGTCACATCTGTAGCTTAAATTAATGTCAGCAGAAGCATCTGCCAGTATAAAGCTCATCTCCAAAGCCCTAATTGTTGAGATTTGCAAACATAGGAATGGCTATATTTTTTAGGGTTTTCTCCTAATATTGCTGCCATCTTGCGGTCTACTAAAGATGAGGCAACATTATGTTGTATCACGGGAGCCAAAGGGCTCCGAAGCATATGGACATAATTGCTTTGCTCACGGTCCCTGGTTGTGGTTAGGGTTTGTTGGTGAATCCTTTTTGTAACTTCTTTGCCCCTATAGGGGTTGTACGAGTCATCTGGAGTCTAGAATCCTTTCTTCTTCTTAATATAACGATGCGTAGTTCTCCCGCGTGTTTGAGAAAAAGAAAAAATGTTGAGATTTGAGAAGTTTGCTATTAATAATAGCAGTTCTTAAATTCCCAGTTCTGTGTTTTTATACTATCGTATCCCATCCCCTACCAAAATGCAATTAGAAGGAAAAACTACAGTGTAGATGGAAACAACTACAACTGTGTCCTATGCAATTCAAATGAAGAAACTGCTTTTCATCTCTTCTTCTTAGTTAGGCCTGTACATGCCAGTTTAACCGGTTTCTGGATAAAAACCAACCCAATCCACAAGCGACGCTCAGCTCACGGTTTGGAACCCGCGGGTAACACGGGTTCCACGGTCTGATACACTGCCCATGGTGTTCTTCTCTGCTGTCTTGCCTGGTCCCCTCCGCCCGCCATGCTTGACTGCACCAAATGCCAGGCCGAGCTCACCGAGGGTGAGACGCTACGGCATGGGCGGCGCTAGGGGTATGCCCCTGTATTCCATGGAATACCCATGATTTTTGTGACAAACACCAATATACGTATACATGTGTAATGATACAATATGTTAGTTTGTTGAATGTTTCAAATATGTAGCCCAAAAGCCCAGTAGAACAGCTAGTAGCAACAGCCCACGAACTCAGAAAGACAGAAACCCATCGACCGTATTCCCGTCCCTGTCTCTTACTCCCATCCATCGCTTGCATCGACCGGAGGGCGACAGCACAACGACACGGCAGGTCGGCTCTCCCCCTCGGCCCTTCAGCCCTCGCCCGGTCGCCCCTCAGCCCTGCGGCAGTCGGGCCTCGACAACCAACGCGGCAGCGCCTTGCGCCCGGCACTCCTCTAGCGGCGGCGGCGGTCAGGGGTCTTTGCAGGCTCCCCCTCGGCTTCGGTGTCCAGGCGTCCGGCCCTCCCCCTCGGCACCTTTCTCATCTCCGGCTTGATGCAATAGCATGGCGAACACAAAAGACCCCAGATCCATTCTTGATTCTTCAGAGTAAGAATTGAAGGTTTCGTTTTCTATTTTTTATTGCATTGTGTTTTTTTGAAAGAAATGTTGCATTGGTTCTTGTAACGTTGATTATTACCAGAGGCGACACCAGGTTCACTTTGCCTGGTGCCTTGTTACCAGGGTAAAAATATATTGGGAAAATTGGCTTCATAGCATTGAAAGATCACGAGATTCAAAAAAATACCACTGAAAAAACTCTGTTACGTAAAATACCACTGAAAGATAGAACCGTTATCCGAAACTAGGATTTCGTCCGGTTTGAAGGTAACAGTGTCAGCACCGTCGATTCCCGTCCATCTAATAAAGGCAAAAAAAATCCAAATCCCAGCTACTCGAGCCGAACATGGAAGATGCAGGGCGGCACCCGCAGCAGCTGGCGCGCGCGGGACGGCGGTGTCCGCATCGAGGAGGGCATCTCGGCAGCTTCATGCGCGTGGCCGGCCGGCGGCGTCTCGCTTGTGGGCGTCGCGATGGCTCGAGTCTGCGTGTGTCGACGGAGGTTCACGACGCGAGCGTGCGGCAACTCGGCGAGGCGGTCGGTGACTACTACTACTCCGTATGCAATGGCGGCTCGGCGAGGGTGGCGGTGAAGTTGCTGCGTGCATAAGCGTGGCGGCTTGAAGCGAGTTAGGCGCGGCGGTATGGCGATAGCGTGAGCAAAATCACCGGCGAAGATTAGGCCTCCGAATCATGATTGAATCCGATAGCATGGACCCGCGGCATGGACTCGAAGAAGATGCTATGGAACGAGGCAAAGAAACGACCTTGGGCAGATGTCTGGCGGCTGTTGACCCGATGAGGGTACCCACCATGGAATTTGTGGTGTGGATTGGCTCGGCGGCCGCTCATGCAAGTGTTTTTTTCAGCGTGACCTACGCCGGAGCTGAGGAAGACGAAAGGGATGGGATTTTCACTGGTGCTCACGTGGGAAGAAGGGAGGAGCAACGGTGGATTCACGTCGTTAGCTCAAATCGTGACAGAATGGTAGTTTGAATGTGATTGTTTTTCGGTGGTATTTCACGTGGCCGTGATATTTGACCGGTATTTTCGAATCTCATCATCTTTGGATGCTATGAAACCAATTTTCCCAAATATATTTTACCTAACATATATTCTAAAATTATATATACCACTTGAGCGATTGCACCAGGATCAATTTTGTCTTGGTTTTGCCCTTATTACTATTGCATATACGCATTGGAAATTTTTCATCGTGGAATACCCCCAGTGAAATCTGGCTCCGCCATCGCTGCGCTTCTGACCACAGGCTCCACACTCGTCTACCTCGATGCTTGGCTACCTCGATGCTTGGCTTTTGTTCCGCCTCTCTGCAGCCTTGCCAAGATCGTCAGCGGAGGACCCGCAGCAAGAATAAAGATCGATCCCGCCGCCACTGACATCCTTTATTCGGTTGCCAGCCCACCGCCGCGGGGGCGTAGTGCTCTTGTCGTGGGCGCGCCATAACCTCCAAGATCCTTGATCGCATGCTTGACCCCAACCACTACCTCATCCACACCCTTGCCTGGTCCCCTCCGCCTGCCATGCTTGACTGCACCAAATGCCAGGCCAAGCTCGTCGAGGGTAAGACGCTACGGCCACAAGCTCCACACTCGTCTACCTCGATGCTAGGCTTCGGTGTCTGCCTCTCCTGCAGTCACGACATCGTCGCCAGAGGACCAGCAGAACAAACATTAGTCCCGCCGCCAAAGATCATTTATTCTTTGCCCGAGCCACTACCGGCCGGGGCCGTGGCGCTCTTGTCATGGTATGCGCGCCGTCGCCTCCAAGATCCTTGACTGCATGCTTGACCCCAACCACTACCTCATCCACACCCTCTCCACCATGTGCGGCGAGCTCTCGACGAACACATCAAGGTGGACGGGTTAGATGGTCGCAAAGCGTATCCGAGACCAAGCCGCATACAGGCCTTTGGATACTGGTTTTGCTTGGGTTGGTCCGGGTTGAAGCGGGACCATGTCTGAGGCTATTTTTAGTGTCAGATGCTGGACTTCACTTGGTATATCTTGGGATCACTCCTTGGAGTTCTTCTCTATGATGATAAAGGCATGAACAGACTTTTAACTTCCTTTCTTCATGGAAGTATTCATTATTGAAGTTTGGCACATTTGGAAGCAAACAAATGGCTTCATTTTTCAGAACAATAGGCCTACCTTCCAATCATGGAGAAAAGCTTTTGTGGATGAAACTAACCTTCAGCTTCACAGGGTCAACCACACTCTCAGATCTTCAGTTCATTTATGGCTAAGCTTGATTAACTAGCTCTTGTGCTCTTTCTTCTCACTATTGGCTGCCTGTTGCATGCCGTCTATTCTACTTTTCATCTATACAGGTTTTGTCTTCCTTTCTGTAACTCCTTTTATCTTCATTCTTTTTTAATAAAATGCATAGTAGGGACTACTGTATTTCCCCTAAAAAATGCAATTAGAAAAGAGTGCAGGTGAGTTTCTTAGATTACTATAAATTGGTATATTGGCAATGGAAACTTCGATACCGGTACAAGTAGATTTCGATACCAACAAGTTACCATGCTTTTGTGTCTGCTATTATACCTACTTCAGCACTAGATTTCAATGTTTCTTTTCAGATAGAAGTATATCTGCTTATAATGGACATGCAGTTTCAACCATATCAGTGTCTAATGTTGACTAAAATTGTTGAGATACAGGTAGGAAACTTAGACCTCATAAAACTGACCTAGTGAACAACAGATCCATAAAAGACGGCCTCTGCAGGACCAGTCATGTAAACATGATTGTCATCCTCCCTCCATTCAATTTCCAATGGCCCACCAGGCAAATCAACTACACATTTCTGTTTCATGATAAAAAGATAAAAGATTAAGGTATAACATAAACTATAAACTATAGTGAATATGAGTGAAATGCCAAAACAGCAAACAAGCAGAAAGGAAAGAAAGGCGAACCCGCTCAGCTCGACCCTCAAGAACAGCTGCAACAACCACTGCAGAAGCACCAGTACCACAGGCAAGAGTTGCTCCTACAGTCAAACCATAAAGTTCATTTTGCATATCCACTCCAAATGACGAATGCATAAATATAAAAAGAGGTGTCACTTAAAGTCAAACATATATTATAGCCGTTTGCATTATGGAGTTACAAGTTACAGTGTAGTACTGATGACATATTGATACCTAGACCAAAAATATGAGTAAAATTCGAAAATATAGATGCAGGAGGCAACAAAAGAGAAGACATTCTAACGTTCAAGCAATGACATATGCTACAGTTAAAGGAGGTTAAGGTAAGATTAATCATACCAGCACCACGCTCCCAGACTCGCATTTTGAGGTGTGAACGAGACAAAACCTGTACAAATTCTGCAAAAAGAAAGTCACTTAAATAAAATACAAATACAAGGATGTATCTATAGAAGCAGAAGAAATTAAGAGTTGCCTTTTTTTGACAAGGAAATTAAGAGTTACCTGTGTTTGTGCGAGCAGGAAACATTTCATGATGCTCAAATTTAGGCCCAATTTCGCTAAGTTTTAAATCGTCAACCTGCAACACCTGCAGGAGTACAGTCAATACTAGAATCTATGGTTGCAATATATAGTTACATCATTACATGGACACCCTTGGTTAGACTGATAAAAGTACAATTCATCATGCACATAGTTCAACTAGCATAGAACTCTATTCACTTGTGTCCTAATTAACAACTGACGCTTTGCCAACAACAACGTCCACAACAACAATAGGCAGCGGTTCACGGTTGCTACTTGCTCTGTTATTATCTGAACAAATGGACCTCAACAAATAGACAAAAGCAAAACCATACTGATTACTGAAGCATCTTTACAAAAACTTTGTCTGTCTCCTAAAGCATTGCAATATAATCCTGGAACGCATTTTTCACAAGCAAAAACAACAGGTTGTGGTGATCATGAACAAAATGGATCACAGGGGTCACTGGTTTGAACAATTAGCAAGTTTCAAATCCGAAATTTTGATGTACAAAATGTAACAAAGAATGTCGAACCAACAACTCAAGATTCAATTGTTTCAACTAAGACTTTATATCCCCATAGATGGATCCATAAAATGTGAAGCTTTGTAAAGAAGCAAGTTGACATGAATAGAATGCTAATTTGCGACTACCTTTAACTCCTTTGCACCAAATGTGACACAGTGAGGGTTGCCCATGCTAACACATGTGACATGCCATGTTAAGCCCTCAACTGCCAATTCGGCTTGGACAACAGCTTTGTTCTTGGTAGCTAGCAGTTTTGTGGGGATGTCTGGTCCAGAAAGGATGGGCTCGCCCATATCAACCTTTACCTGAAAACAAGATATGTGTATAAAATTCTATATGAGGTATAGCTTAAAGATTGGAGAGTGTTGGCTGGCTTTGTCACACAGGTGTGTATCACCACACCCCTCAGTCGCACACGCACACACACTGGAGGTTGAAGAAGAGGCACGCACACGCGCGTTGGAGGGACTCAACACTATTATCCAATTCAGTCCCCCTTATTTGTAACATAGTTCTTCAGCTATAGTGGTATATAATATCACGTTAATAACAAACTGAAGAAGAGTGCAAGACGAAAATCAGTTGCGCACGGGGGAACAAACCTTACCAGACAACTAGCAATCAAAGAAAAGGCATTAGAGCATCTCCAAGAGTCTTTCTTAAACTCTCTCTAAATCCTCATCTGGAGAGCCATTTGAATAAAAATCGCTCTCTATACCTTTCCACTCTCCAGTCAGTTTCTCTATATCTTGTGTCCACTCTAGAGAGCTCTCCATTTTTGGCTAGCGAGAAATCAGGAAAAGAAGATGGCAGTATTTGGAGATCTAATTAAAGAAGCGGTTGGAGGACATTTTTTCACCAAAATCTCTATTCCTAACAATACGAAAGGATATAAAGAAACTCTTGGAGTTGCTCTTACCTTTGCTCATGACCAAGCAACATAGCTAGCAAGGCATGATTATAGTCTTCTAGAATTAAAGAGGGACTATCATAATTAGATTTCAAAATGCCTACAAGGAAAACATTTACCTGCCCATCACTTTGTATTTCAGGAATGATCTTTCCAGCACCAGTATGAATAGTGAAGCTGAAATGTTTAAAGAACTAATTTCAGGGTCCATAACAAAGAATGATGCATCCACATCTTATCATAGTTCTAGCATTATTGTGTCTCAATAATTAACTATATTAATATTAGACTCAGATTCAACAACAATTACTACTCTGCCTAAGTTGTTCAACATAGCTGGTCCCAGCTCCCAAACTCCCAAGCCTGGGTAAAGGAGAAGCAATGTGATAGGCTTGGCAAGCCCACGTAAAAACTCAACCACTCTTATGAAGATGAAAACCGAAAGAAGCCCAAAAAGAAATATTAGACTCAGATTCCCCTCAAAACCATATCAGGCGAAGAATAACATGAGACTCGAGTGTAATTTCTGTATATTTCATTTAATTGTTTTACAGTGATGTTGCAATGAACTCCGCCTATGGTGGGGCGCCTTTGGTGTCCCAGCATAGCAGGTCCCAATCCCTGGTAAAGGAGGAAGGTTGTGTTAGGCGTGGCGAGCCAATGTAAAAACTTAGCCACTTTAATGGAGATGAAACCCAAAAGAATCCCGTTGGGGCGTAATCCTCTTAGCGACGCGTCATGTCGGAACCCGGGTATGGTGTTAAATGAGCAAGGGCCAGGTCGTCACCCCCGTGATGCGCCGTGTCACAGTGATGTTGCAATGCATTACCTATTTGTCCCCTGTAGATTTTCAATCTCGGCTATAAACCGAGCAAAGCAACGGACTCCATTACCACACATCTGAAAACCAAAAAAGAAATAATGGATCAGCATTTAGTGTATGAGAACAATTCAGATTAACAAACTGTATTGAACATTTTCTGATTGTCCATAACCTGGAGATAAAGAAAAGGAAAAAACATAGTGGGACATTTATATCTATACTTATCCTTTACTTGATAGTTAGCAGTGCCAAAAAAAAGGAACATATCTATATGGTCCATTTGTTTAGGATTGGAAACATGATGACACTTCAATTGTTTAACAGGCATTCAAGACACAAAACTTACAGATCAGAATTTAATAAAAAATATCCACAGTCCATGTTAGAGTGAGACATGTATGGTATACAGACTATACATCTGGTATGCCTGTGTATTAGCTGATGGGGAGAGGTCGGCAATTCACTTATATTCCAACACTGTGAAATAGTGAATATAATAAAGATACACCAAGTGACCTAAAATACTCTGATGATGCTTAGATTGGTAGATGTCCCGATCTACACTAACTGGTAGGTAGGCAAATTATAAGAGCTCAAGCTAGCAAGTTGATTTGACGGCTGAAGTTTGCATCTACAAGAATTTGAAGAACCTCACAACTACACATCTACATTTTCCCTCCTTTTGCATTAAAAAGCTCACATGATAAACCTGCACCGACTTGGCAGCAGAGACTGGGTATGCATAGCTTAGCACAATTTGGTGGCAGAGAAGAATGGCTACCAATAAGAATTACGACAGCCTCAAATATAGCATTTACGACTGTGCTGTAGAATTCAGTCTTGTGACGAAATGGTGGAGACACACGCACCTCTGGCTCGCTGCCGTCAGAGTTGAAGATCCTCATGGTGTAGTCGGTACCATTGACCCCCGGCATGACGAAGATGACGCCGTCGGCGCCAATGCCGAAGTTTCGGTCGCACAGCTTCGCGGCCTCCTCCGGCGTCACCTTCGGCACCGACGAGTCCCTGTTGTCCACCTACGAATCGAAACAGGAATCAGCAAACAAAACCGAAGTATCGTCAATAGCAGAGCATTCGAAAATCAAAACAGCACGGATTGCACGAATTCTCAACGGCGGGTCCCCCCACCCCCCAAATAAACACCACACGCACGGTGCGGAATAGCTGGCGAGAGTTGGTAAACGGAAACAGGCGCACCATAATGAAGTCGTTGCCGAGGCCCTGATACTTGACGAAGTGGAGAGCGCGCTCGGACTCGCGGCGCTCGAGGAACGAGGCGGCGGCGCCGGACCTGGGGGCGGACACGGCCATCGAGGCGGCGGCGCGGCGTGGGGCGGCAGGGACCCCGCGCAGCGGAAGGCGCACGCGGCCGCGGGATGGAGCGGTAGGGTTGGGGGCGGCGACGGAGACTGCGGCGAAGGCTGTGGTGGCGGCGGCGGGCGACATGGCCGCTAGAGGTTAGAGGGGGTGCGGGACAGCGGGAGCGCGTGCGGTTAAGAGGATATTTAACTTTTTATCCTCCATACCAGGTTTAGCGCTACGTTTTTAATAGTAGAGAGAGAAAAATGATACGCATTTATCACTTGTGTTTGTGTGACACGTAACTCGGATTCGAGTTAGCAGGCTTAGATTAAAAGACCTCTCCTATCCTGGCGTCTTTATCCCCCTCTCACTGACACGCGGGCCTCAAGTCAGATTCTTCTTCACCCTCTAGCCATTGCCACCTATTGTCTTCTTGTACATGATTCGTTTAGACATGGGAGGCAGCCACCCGAAGAAGTTGATCACCGCATGGCCACCATCTTTATGGGCACCATGTACAGCACCATGGCCACAAGGACGCACAGTGTGACGAACAACACCGTGGCGGCGTGGTGCATCAGCGTCGGCACGACGAGGTCCGGGTGCCACGCGAGGAGGACCAGCACGGCGTGTGCCATCGCGGTCGTCGTCGGGTATTCCGCCACGACCGGGTGTCCTCCATCCAGCGCGCCGCGTCGGCGACCCAGGACCGCGCGGCGGCGCTGTTCCAGCTGGCGCATGTTGAACCCGCTTGGCTCCGTGGCGTCCAGCATCCGCTCAGATGCGGGGACGGTCATTTTACCTGATGATGCTGACTCGGATCTAAGCTGGACAGCGGAGCTGGCGTGCCACGCAAGTAAAAGTGGTAAATGTGTATCGTTTTTCTCTCTCTGCTACTAAAAGCATAGTGTCAGACTAAAGCTGTTATTTGAGACGCCATGGGTTATCATGGTAAAAAGTTAAATATCCCGCGCGTTCATAGGACTGCAGGAGGGAGGAGGTCCCTGTCGCCGTCGCTGTCCGGGTAATTTACGCGGAGCCATGGGTCCGCGGAGCGTATGGCCCACTGTCATTGATGCTGAGTTTGAAAGAAGGGCGCCGCGGATGGATATGTTTTGTCTGACTACTGATGATGCGCGCCGAGGGTTTGGTTACCCAGTTTTGGGATTCGGAAACAAATGATCAAAAGAGATCTAAATTTTCGTTCCAATATTTAGAAAACGAAATCGAAAACAATATTAGAGCAACTTCAAGAGATTAGCTTAAAACATATTTTAAATTTACTGATTTAGTTGTCTTCTAAAATAAAACCTCCCTAAAAAAGTTAGTAATTCAAGAGATTCTCTAAATTTTTTTCACTAGTATTCAAACGTGCTACGGCACCTGTTTTTATTGGATCCCTCCTATGGCTGAGGAATTTCATCACTGGACCCAGCCAGTCAGCACCGATCAACAACATTGTTCATAGTTAACGCTGGTTAAGTGCTCGAGCGTTGCTATGGGTATACATAGAATCTCATGACAGATAGTCGCACGTGTAGAACATATGTAAAATCTCATCCATTCATTAACAATTTATTTTACATAAACCTAAATATCAACTATAGAAGAAAAGAGGTATGTTAGAAATAATAACCATCACGTTACAAATTAAACATAAATTCACATATAGTTATTAAAAATATATTATCATATAACGAGTACATCCAATCAGTAACATGTCCATAAGATGATCATACGCTACTTGCCTCCTATTGTTCCCAAACTTCTTCTATTACCTGAAATGCAGATGGATACGACAAATGTCAGTAACAATTGACACAAATATAAAAAAATAACAGTTGTGCAAAACAGAAGACGATACATTTTCATGGAGTGAGGACCTCCTTGTAAACAATATTTTTCATGTATGTACCATTTATTTTTGTCTTTTTTTCTTATCCTTCTTATCACTGGGTGGGACGACAAGGATCCTAATGTTCGATCTGGCAGTGGCTCTAGATAGCGCAACATACAGCTGACCATGAGAACACCGGTTTAGGCAAATACACACCAATATGGGGGAGAGTCTGCCCCTATGCCTTGTTAACCGTCATGGCAAAACTGAGTCTAACCAAAAACTGCTTGCTCTTGAACTAGAACGGGAACATCTCGTCATCCGAGGGGCATAACGGAATTTATGGTAGGAAGATTCGCTTTCTGGCATGGTCTCCGACCATAATTTCTGCATTGACTGTATTTCGTTGGAACCCTAGAACCACCAGCCTCGTTCCATTACAAAGTCCACCCGCAGGGTCGATGTTCCTGAGCAATATGACCGGACACCCAATCTTGAGCTTTAATACATGTGGAGGGAGATCGTTGGGGGTCAAAGTGTTGAGGAACTCACATGGGTAGTAGTTGTGTGAATCATCCACCGCACTATCAAAGTTGTGGTACACCATCTCATCCCCTTGGAAATGGCTTATCATCTTCATATTAATCATATCAACCCAGTCGTTCTGTGGAGATAATATTGCTCGTGAGGTGATGTAGCTCTTGTTTGACATATTGGCATTGAGGGCAGGGAATATGCAGTCAATTAATGTATCAAGATCACTGTCTTTCCTGGTCTGTGGTATGCATATATCATCAGGAAGGCGGATTTCACCATCACCATTAGCCTCCTCAAAGCCTCCCCCGACGCGTAGCAAGTATTCTACAAACCATGGGTCGCTCTTTGCCCTCATGTTACGCACCAGTTTGAGATGTCGCATGGAATTCCAAAGGTACGACATCCGTAGTGAGGCACCAAGTATTTGAGCCCTTGACCCTCTTCAAATAACTGGGAGAACCTGCCTAAAATCTCCACCAAACACCATAGTCTTCCCCCCAAACAGTAGGTTAGGACGGTCCATGATATCATGGAGGCTGTTGTCTAGCGCCTCGACACCTTGCCTCTTCATCATCGTCACCTCGTCCCAAATAATAAGGGATGCGGTCTGAAGCAGCTTGGCGGTACCACTCTATTTCATGAAGCTACAAAAGGCCCCATCATTGAGGGTGAGGGGAATCTTGAAGCGCGAGTGGACAGTTCTGCCACCATGCATTATTAAGGCAGCAACACCAGATGTTGCTGTTGCCACGATAATCTTGTTTTGACTATGTATAGTAGCGAGCAGGGACCTGTATAGATAAGTCTTTTCGGGGCCACCAGGTCCATCCACAAAGAACAAACCCCCATGATCGCTATCAACAGCACACATAATCTCATTGTAGGTAGCCTGCTGCTCCTCGTTAAGGATCTTTGATAGTGCCATGTCATCAATGCTTGCCTCAACGCTAGCCTCCTCGAAATTTTCCCTAGGAATATCGCCAGACGGATCATATGTGTCATCGATACCAGGAAGTGGGTACATCTTTATGTCCTTCTGCATTGATTCTAACTTCCAAATATCTATGAGGGCCATCTGCTCCACTATGAAGCTAGACTAGTTGTTGTGCCTGTAGTCCTCTGACATTGACTCCTTATGCTTTTCCTAGAGTTCTAACACATCACTCGGCTCACAAAATACAAAGATTATTGCAAGAGCCTTCGCAGTGCATATGGCATCATCCACAGAGTTGCTTCAGCAAGGCCCTTGTGCAGCATGTTGTCCGCTTCAATGAGGCCCCTTCTTTCTGTAGCTTCACGAAAAGTCGATAGGAGTTCACTAGAAACCGTCCTTAGATCAGTGAACAAGGTTGCACTAGGCACGTGGTTTAGAAGCACCCTAAGATATTAACGCTCCCCTTCAACCGGATTGGCACATACAACTCTTCTAATTTGTCTTAAATGATTCTTGTGCGCCCTCCTAATCCATGTTTTCCCCTGTGAGTCCCACTTATAGTACTCAGGAAAGTCCCGATACAATATACCGTGGGCATGTTCAGATGTGTTGTTCTTCTCGAAGTAGGCTGTAAGCATCGACCTTTCAACACCTGGACGATTAAGCACTCGTCGAACACCCTCACGCTGGTGAAATGACACCATGTTCATGTTAGGAAGATAGAGTTGCAAGGACAACACCGAAGGGGACCTATTACTTATATCGAAACCATATATCCTCCAGAAGGCTTCTAGTGGAGTTACCCATCTAGCATCCGTGTATTGTTTGATCTCATCGATGTTTCCTTCATTGTCCTCCTTGTCAGCCTCTCTCACAGCCACAGACGCGCGGTTATGACCCTTGTAAATGTACTTAAACAAATACTTGATGGCCTTGATGCTCCCACATGTCTCAACATTGATGTGGCAATTGAACAAACGTAGGAGGTATGGGTTGTAAGGCATGACCCATCTATTGTCAAGGTCATGCCCACGAACTTTTTCTTTTCTACCATCGTCACACCGTCTGTAAACTGGGTATGAATCCTTGCCCTGTAATGTGGCATCACAGAAAGGTCGCGGGTAACGATTCTTACATGATTCATGGCCCTTTGTGCATGGGCAATTGCGATTAAGTACTCCACAAGGGCCATCCATCATATGCTTTGTAACCATTTTATACAAGTCCGGATACTTCTTGTTTGGGAGCTCAGCTGAGATGAGAAGGTCATACTGCTCTAGGCACATGATTTTGTAGCGTCCCTCCATGATTAGCAAAAAATGTACGTGCGATAGAACCCTCTTCTGGAACTCCACAACATATACGTGTTCACGAACCTTTCCAAGGATATCCTTTTTTATCAACATGTGCTTAAGCTCTTCCAGTTTTGCCCTAAGGACCCGATCAATAAGGTCTAGACGATCCTGTGGTGTTTGTCCAAGGTACAACTCACGCGTGATCTCCTCCCACTTTGGATTACATGTCATAGTCAAGAAGATGTCTGGTTTTCCAAACCTCCGCACCAGTACCATGGCATCCAAGTACCTATGCCTCATGTCCCTGGGACCTCCGATAAATGAGGAAGGCATCACCGTTCGCTTTCCAACAACTTCTGACACCACAAGGGCAAAGGGTTTTTGTGGCGAAAACTTTCATCACAAAAGCTTTTTTTCCCACAAACCAGCCTTTGTGGCGAATTTTTAAATCGCCACTAGTCGCCACAAATACTCGTCTCACAGATACTCTAGTGATGAATTTTTGTTCCCCACAAATGACCATACTCATTAGTGACAAATT